TGGGTTGTGGTAGAAGCGGAAATAAGTACAAGACCATGATATATATTGTTGAAAAGCATGGATGCAGAAAATTAGATTGTGATATAGACCAATCTTATATTTCTCGGAGGTTTCTCTTTAGTTATGTTCCAAGTTTAGTTAGTTTATATCCACCAATTTAATATTTTTCTCTTCTTCTTTCAAAGTTTTTGCTGCCTTCATTTATTGTGGTGGACAAATGAAAGACTAGTCGTCAGAATCCTAATATTTACACATCATTTTTTATTTTTAATTACTCAAAACTCGATTCTCGGGTTAAAATTTTATTCGACGTTTAGTGTAGATGATGATTCTCTTTGCAGGCTTTAGATATTCGTACTTTTACATTTATAGGATGATGTTTTAAAGGACGTTTCACGTGAAATATATTTTTATTGTCGAGCACTCTCTTCTTGATCACTACTTTCGCTTGCTTGTATCCATTGTCAAGAACTTGCTCCATGACGCCTTTTCGGCCTCAATATTAGTCGTAATCCACATCTCAAACTTATATGGATCCATTCTTCTGTTCACTGTAAGTGAAACCGTACGCTTCTCTTCTCTAACACAAGATAATAAAGTCACACTGAAGGTATAGTTTCTCTTTGATCTGCGATTTTTAGATTTGCGAATTACTATAACTTATATATATTATGAATATTGCGTTTTTCTCTCATGATATTGAAAGAGCCTTTAAGATGAGTAATTAGATAAGTCAGATTCTGGTTTAATTTCCCCCGTAGTAATTTGATTAACTGAGTTAAATGAGCAAATTTATTAAAATGAAGACGTGTTGTTCACGGTAATGGAGTTTATTCGACATAAGAAGTTTGTTATTTGACAAACCTATTACCTATATAATCAAACTTCGTAATTTGACAAACTTCGTAGAACCTATAAAATTTGACTCTCTTTAGTGTTTGTTGAGTCGTAGAATTTGTAAAAAGAGATTGTCAGAAATTTTGAGTTTTGAAAGAATTTTGTTTCAAACTAATAAAAAGCATAGATTAGGAGATAATAGAAAAACGATAATTGAAACGGATAATGCATAATATATTGTCAACCAAAAACAACTGCTAATATAAATCCAAACCATATCCCAACAAGCACAGATCTCTGAAACAAAAACAGAATGCAAAATTCTGAGATGGAAGAAGGAGAAGAAGAGAGAGCTCAAAAGATTCTTTGTGGTGGTCCCATGGTGCTCTTCAAGTACAAACACCTTACCTGCACCAAGATTCAAATCAAAATGAGTACTACATTAGAGAGAGATTTAGATAGAAATTAGACACAATCATAGAAATTAGAGAGACTCATACGTTTTGCCAATTCTTCTTCAAGAGCGAGACGAGGAAGTTAACGCTCATTTGCACATTCTGGAAGAGCTGCTTCTCTTCCATTGAAAGGTTACCAACAGCAACACCCATACACAGAACTTTCTTCAACTGGAACTTCACTGTTGCTTTGGTCTCATTCACCTTTGCTTCCAATGACTCTTGGTGACTCACAAGAGTTGGGAACTTTCCTGTTCATCAATCAAGACAACAATAAGAAAGAATGTTCAGACAAGAAATCAGAAAATGAGACCATAATAATACTCAAAACATCAAATTGTTCAATTGAGACATTGAAGAAACTTGCCTGCCTTGTTAAGACCAGGACCAAGAAGACGAGGAATCTGCTTAATGACAGATTCAGAAGCCAAGAAAGCATGGTAAGACTTGGCAAGCTTCTTAACAAGCTTCTTGTTCTTGTTAAGCTTCTTCAAAGCCTCAACATCCATGTTACTAAGTCCCATTTTCTCCGCCTATCGAAACCAAAACAAATACTTTCATCTCAATCTCCAATATAAACCAAAGAAGCAATCATTCCAAACCAAACAAGATACACAAAAGCAGAGAGATTTCATTTCAATCACCTCCTCAACGTGCTGAGCATCTCCAAGCATACAGATCTTCATTTTCGGGCGAGGAATATGCGGTAGCTTCACAGATCCACTGAAACGCTTATCCTTTTGTGGGTCATAGTTCTTCAGACCAATCTGAAGCTCCACTGTCTCAACAAAGTTACGTTTTTTCTCCTCAGATTTTCCCTTGATGGTCGTAATGGCTTCTCTAAGAGCCTCACTCTGAAGCTTACTATATAACAGAAACAAACCCATTTCACCAAATCAGATAAAGTACTGTACTTTAACATTCATTTGAACAATATGAACAAGCAATAACATAACTTGTATGATTCTATTGAACAATTACTCTCCAAGTTATCAATCTAAGGCAACACTAAACCTAAAGCAAACAGAGATCTATATGAAAAATTTGAAATAAGAGTAAAGGAATGGTTTTTAAAGAGTACCTCATATTGAGTTTCTTCTCAGGTCACGAATCTTTGATCCTGGAATCAAGAAAGCAAACAATAAGAGATGAATTAGAAAGAAAAAACCCTCATTTTCGATTATGACATAGAACGAAGAAGACGAACAGAGAAGTGACGATGTTTGGAGAGAGACGAACCTGAATGGTGAAGAAAGCGGAAGCCCTAATTGTGTTACAGAGGCGGCTGAAGATTTTATATCAAGGAAGAAGAAAAATGAATGGAAGAGACTAAAACCCTAGGGGAAATGATTTCGTTTTATGGGCCTTGTAACATTAATGGGCCGCTTGTTATCATTACTAAATAAGCCCATCTTTCCACATTGTGGGTTGTGGCATTTTGAAAGTTTTTTTTTCAAAGTTTTTAAATTAAAGAAATGGAGAAAATTTATTTAGGTGTGTTATTTTTTTTTGGGTGATTTTGAAAACTACCCTATTTATGGGTTTTTGTATGAAAAATACACCTCTCTCCATTTTAATTTAAAACTATAATTTTTAATATATTAAATGACAATTTTGTCCAAATGTAAAAAAAGTTGTATTTTAATAAATTAATATTAAATACGAAATTACATATTAATTCAAAATTTTGAAGGAAAAAAAAGAATAAACTAAATTCAAAATCTTAATTTTTAATTTTGACTATTTATGAGATAAATACAGTTTATTTATTTTATAAATTAAAATCTAACATGATGTTATCAAAACAATATTCTAAAGATTATCACTTCATATTTGTCACATTATATAAAGAAATTAATAAATAATAATTTTTTAATATCGACAAAAAATAAAAATCAAATAGATTTTTGGATTTTAAATATAAATATTTTCAAATTATTAGCAAATCTCAGTGAGGACATTTTCGTAATTTTCATCCCTTTTTATATATTAAAAATAGATTTTATATTAGAAAAAATGAATAAGGTATTTTTCAAAAAAAATCTCAAAAAGGGGTAATTTTCCAAATTTTCTCTTTTTTTTTGTCATCTCAAACTCAAAGATAGATTAGAAAACATGCGGAAAAGTATAATACCGGGTTAATACTTAATAGAACTCTGGAATAAAACCCGGATATTCTCAGAAACTAAGCTCAATTAAATAGGAGACAAATGAAAAAACTTACAAAGCAAAAAGAAGCCAAAAGCCCAAAAGAATTGAGTCCGAAAATGATATAAAAGAAAGTAAAAACTTAATTACAGAATTTAACACCAATTGAAAAGTCTCTACTAAGGACTTGATTGGTTCTCCCGCTACCACCCGCAAACGCTGCGTTTGCGGGCGGTTGCGGTTGCTAGCGTTTAAAACCAATAATAAAAAAACGTTTTATATCGCTCCGAACCGCTCTACACCGCTCTGAACCGCCGAATTCAAAAGCTCCTTCCCGCAAGCGTTTGCGGTTTCGGGCGATAGCGGTTGGCAAATTTTTTTTTTTAAATTCAAATCCTATATTTATATTAAAACAATACATAAATAACAAATAAATTAAAAAAAATTATCAAACCCTATATATATTAACGTTAATTCTCAAAACCCTAATTTTTTTCTATTTACCAAAATTATGGCGTCAATCAAAACTCAAGAATGACAAAATACAAACTAACTATTGTAATAAAATTATTAATCCAGGGGATCTAAGAATTCAAAACATCTATTTTTTTAGTTTTTCATATTATTATTTTTGTAATTTGTTATATTACTTGATGCTGTTTTTTTATGAACCAAATGCATGAAGTAATAAGCACTTAAGTATGAAATATATTAGACGAAAAAAAAAAAAAGTATGAAATATATTATTTTGAATAATTATGTAGTAATTTTATATATTTTATTATTATTAATTATATATTTTAAATAGTTTTGTATTTTATCATAATAATATAAATATTTGGTGTTTTTATACTTTATTATATAATTATAAATTATATTTGTTTTGATCATTTTCGATTTAACCGTTGTCGCATCCGCTGGTTAACCAGTCATAAAACTCCCGCAAACGCACCAATTTTCAAACCGCTTAACCAGTCGTTCAAAATGCATCATAACGCTTGAAACTGCAACCGCCCGCTTCCGCAAACTCCCGCAGACGCAACCGCACCCGCTGCGTTTAAACCATGCCCTAAAACTAATCCACTCATGAGAAAAGCTAATTGACGTAGTGGCTAACCAAAACGGACAACTAAATTCACGAGAATGGAGAGCGGCTCCTCTAATAACGGATGAAGACTACCTCACCGAAAAAGAGTTTTGAAGAAACCTTACGTGTTATTAAGTCCCACAAATTTGGATCTTTGGTTAATTAATTCCGTTTAGAGTTGTTTTGTTTGTTTTGGAACTAGTCCATTCGGGTTGGACTAATATTAAGCACAGTAAACATAGCTGTGCTTGTTACAATCCAAATTATAGGACATTTTCTGTAAGTTTTTTTATCAAATGAAGACATGAACTTAGCTCACTATTGAGACTCTTAAGACTCTTAAGTTCTTAACGTATTAACATATAAGAGATTTGATTTAATCATATCTATACGCAGGAGAAATTTTGATAGAAAAAACCCTAGTTGGATAGAAATATTGCACATAAGCACTTTTCAAACTGTGATTGCAGAGAAGTATAATGATAAAGTTATTCAACAATATAGGACTAATTGAAGAGATGAAAAACATCCATCAGTTTCAAGCTCCCGTATATATAAACCCAAGAAACAACATTTAAGAATTATTCCAACAAATAGACACACAAATTATTATGGCTTCTTCTCTTTAGATTTGCCCTTGATAGTTGCAATTTCTTCTCTAAGAGCCTCACTATCAAGCTCCACTTTCTTCCCAACGTTACCTTTCTTCTCCTCAGATTTTCCCTCAATAGTTGTAATGGCTTCTCTAATAGCCTCACTCTGAAGTTGTCTAACCAACAAACCCAATTCACCAAATTAGATTAAGAAATAATCCATTGGACAATAAGACAACTACGTACGACAATTAACATTAGGATCTAAATCAAAGATCTTTCAAATACCTTGTCTTGAGTTTCCTCTCCTCTGAATTGCGCATGATAATTGCAATGGCTTCTCTTACAGCATCACTATTAAGCTTACTATATAACGAACAAACCCATTTCTCAATTGTATAATACATTGAGCAATAAGACAACTACGATTACTCTCTAAGCCATCAAAATTAGCTAACACTAAAACAATAGCAATAGAGAGATCTATATAAAAGTTGTAGAAGAGTTAAGGAAAGATTTTTCAAGTACCTCATCTTGAGTTTCTTCTCTTTTCACAAAAGATAACAACAATAAGACAAAACGAGAAGTGATGATGTCGAAGAGAGAAGAATGTGATATAGAAATAATAGAATGATCATGAAGATACACCAATCAATATGAAGATATTCTATATTTATTATTGTGATATGTAAAGATTTGTATCTATCTTCGTTTAGGAAACCATTTCAATGTAAACATAAGTAACCCATTGCTTGTGATTGAGAGTTAATATACTATGTCCTAGACATACATTAAATGTTTTGATAAAACGTTTGTTTTTATTTTTACTTTAGTGTAAAAACTATGATGTCACGATAAACAAAACAAATGTAATGGGCCTACTGGCTGACTTTATGCATTAATACAACGTTTTGAACAATTGTTTTGGTGTAAAAACTATGATATATTTTTTTAATTTAAATTAAAACAAAGTACAATTGATTTAGAAATTTGGCATGCGTTAGGTTATTATATAAGTTAACACAACTCTATATGGTATCGGAGCTGCTAATCTTAGAAGAAGCTTAACCTCACTCCACACAGAGGTCGAAGCATTAATTTGGACGATGAGATGTATGATCGGCCAAGACAAGAGAGAAGTAGCTTTCCTTACAGACTACTCCGACCTGGTGAAGATGGTGTCTTCCCCGCAAGAGTGGCCAGCGTTCGCAACATACCTAGAGTCGTTTCAGAGTGACAAAGAAGAGTTTGAATCTTTTTCATTATCTTTAGTTTCTCGTACTGCAAATGTGAAAGCGGATAAACTGGTTCGAGCTGTTCGTACCCAACCGCATTTTATCATCTATGTAAACAACATTCCTCCACATTGGCTCATCTGAGTCCATCTATTATAGCTGTTGACCAAAAAAAAAAAAAAAAAAAAAAAAAAAAAAAACTATATTGTATTTACACTGGTCTGATAGAACCACATTCATCTTATTTCGCTTGGTTTTTCAAACAATAATCTACTTTATTTGAAGATTGCCGAATGAAAGATGGCATAATATGTTTTACACTAAACTAACCATCTCATTCGTATCATTGAAATATTGATTAGAAATCAAGTGGTGTCACTTCGTTATCAGGATCCGATTCACCTAAATTAAGAACTCTCCTTCAAAGGTGGTTCCGTCCTAGACGAATTCTTTAGAGTTTATATTCAATTCTTTTTGTGCATAACATTTTCTGGTTTATCAATAAATTTAATTTGGAAAAACTGTGATTATTTGTGTTAACTCTTGAAGTTTTTGAGAAAAGATTGTATAACTAAACTTTGGATTAATGATTTTCAGTAAATTTCCTTGGTGCTTTCGAGAAGAGAGATGAAATGAAACATTCATTTGAAACATAAACGTAGATTTTTTTATTATTATGTGGTGGATAACAAAGCAAATACATAGAGGTTCAAAGGTACTTGGCTTGAGAAAATCTAACTAGGGGGAGTACTTGGTTGAAGAAATGGCCTCCATTTCGACTTGAACCTTTAACACATCGTTCACAACGAAACCCTTTGATGAATCTCTAAGGTCTGAGAAAGAGATAAACTCATGATAACCCCAAGCATGTTCATTTCCATATTCCGGACCAATGAACCAATTATCGACTACCAAACAAAAAATCAATACATTAGTCATCACGCGGATGAGATTGTATATGTATGTACACATCAATGAACATATATCCTTTACTTACGTGGCCTCTCCAAGTTATTGAGATTACGTTGGTTAAGAACTCGAAGCTTGGCTCGAACATAAATCTTCTCATATGGTTTAAATTTCTCGTTTACATTAAGACCAAGATACATCGACAAGGCTTTTCCCTCTCCTGTGGCATGGCCATTTGGATTCACTTGTATATTCCTGATCAACATATTTAATACTTGTTACCACCAATACTCTTTTACATAAAACAGAGCTTTTATTTTTGAAATAATGTGGACTCACCAATTCCTTCCTCCGATGGAGAACATATCTGATAGGTAAATGTCTTTCAGCAGCATAGAGAATCTCTGAATGGTCCAAGTGAATCTCGGGTTATGGAAATTCTCTATGACAGAGAACAGTTCCGATTTTTCGTAGAGAGGAGGAATGGTCACATCAACACCAAACTCGCAGTGATCTCCATCATATAAGTATCCGTTTGTCGGGTTTTTGAATGTATCAACGGTGAGGACTTGAGAGAATCCCCACATCGTCTTGAAAATATTAAATTTCCATACATCGGTATCTGTAGTTTATCAAAGATCGATACATAAATATATGTTATTATTATGCACATATTATTATTCTTGTTAAAATATCACTTTGTTCTTGGATTAAAGATTAGCAAAAACCTTGGATAAATTTACCAACACACCAGTTGTATCCACCAACAGAAAAAGGACGAGATTCGTATCCTTGTGCGTTAGCTGACTTAAGGAGTGTATTGAAAGACTCCATCTTCATAGAGTAAGAAGATGGAGGACGATCTCTCAGACCCTTCACTACGTTTGAAGCTACGACTTTATAATCACGTGATGAGTTCTCTTTTTTGTGTAAGTAATGCGCTACATCAAAGTTTTGGATTGATCCTGTTTCTACCTCTTCAGTTTTCAGACAAAAAAATATGAATAAAATGGATCTTCTTGAATATTGAGATAAAATATAAGAGCAAAAAAATTGCATACGCTGCAGAGGTTTGTTGAAGTCATCAGTGAATTGTCGTATGAAGGAACCTGCCGAAGAAGATGTGATGAGGAGACAAAACAAGTAAGCAAGATAGATGGTGTTTCTGTAGAAAGTCGTCATCTTTTGTTATGTGAATGAAGTCGACATGATTGATGTTAGTGAGATTTATAGTAATTTGGTAGTTTAGCATCGATGGTAATAAAAAAAAAAAACACTTACACAATCATGACCAAGTTGAGATGGAACAAATATTATATAGTCAAGTTGAGATTCAAAATTAGCAATGTAATGTTTTTAATTTCTTATGGCAATATGTTAATGAAATTAATTATACTAATTTAGTATAGTTGATGGTAACCTCCACCATAAGAAAATCTATTGATCATTTTGTCTAATTTTGATCAAGTCAAATTAAAACATGTTTTAGTGGTGAGATGGAACAACATTGTTAAGCATGTTGAGATTTAAAATTAACAATATAGTTTTTCTTATTATCTATGGTCATATGTTAATGAAATTATTGATGTAATTTAGTAGTTGATGGTAACCTCTAGTCCTCCACCATTAGAAAATCTATTGAACATAGTTGTTCCATCTCACCAAGAACTAAGTTGACTTGGTTAAGATAAAATACTAAGGCGATCAAAAACGAAACCACTAGATCCAAATGTTCTATTTATTAATAGTTTTATTTAGTCTTTATTTAGTAATTTTTTTCCTTTAACTTATTTTTATAGTTTTGTGATATTATTTGATAATGAAGTTATTATAATTGATTTATTTTCTCCAAATATGATGTAACTAATTAATTTTTGGAAAATACTTTATTCATGTTTACAAATTTGAAAAAATACCCTCCTCTTTTTTTTTCAAACTATTTTTAATATATTAAATTACTAAAATAGCCTCACAAAAACTAAATAATAATTTACAAAGAAAAATCAATATTTAAAAATAAAATCATATGTTTGTGGTGATACAAATAAATCTTATTTTAAATATTATTTGATGAGAAATTACACCCACTTGACTTTAGATCAAAATCTACTATTTTTTACAGTTTTCGTCACATTGAAGTATAAATTATTTCAAGAAGTAATTTTCTCTGCTGATGCGTCTAGATTACTTTGACGTCGTCACAACTCTTTATTCTATCAATGTCGATCACAACGCCATGTCTTCCAAAGTCGTTTTTTCTGGATATTGCAAAATGCATCTCGGTATCACATGGTCTCTCAAATTTTGAAGAAGAAGACCCAAATTTCATCGCTAACCTTCTTATCCAAATACTCATATGTCGAGACGTCTTGAAATGCTTATGTCGAGGTTCCTTCTGTGAGTCCTACAGCCTCTATGATATAAGATTGGAATCCACCAAATCTTACTGATCCCAAGATGTCAAGAGTTGATAAGCTTTCATGTGGAAATGGGCGTTGATAGCGATGGAGATGGAGTTTGCGATTGATTCCACAATCACACAGGAACAAGAAGACTTGATTTCACAAGCAATCTGATCCGTAAATCAATAGAAAGGAAGTGATTCCACACTTAGATTCTAAAGACAAGAACAAGAACAATTCAAAGACACTCTTAGAAAGAAAACTAAATTTTACTAAATCAATGATAATGGGTGCTTAACAATGAATTTGAGACTGAGCTTTTATAGGCTCATAAACAATGGTCTAAAGAAGCTAAATGAGGAAAAGAATTGAAAACTATGAAGAATATGGCTATTGGAGCTTTGATGACGAAATCGGCCAAATAAGGAAATGTCTTGAGCTTTGTATCTAGAAAGCTTGGGAAGAAATGTGAGACTTCTTGGGACATTCTGGGATGTGTGGAGTGTCTTCAAAACGCAGCCGCTTTGGTAGATAAAGAGTAGTTGGTTGTTAAAAGCTCTTAGTGTGAATGCGTCTAGAAAAGGAAAGTAGAGGTCCAAGAGTATTCGCCTAATCCTCTGGATGTTGGTGCATGGTGAGGCATCTTATATAGTCTTCGAATGATAAAGAAGCTCTCGAGGTCGCCAAACATAACTCTCCAAAGAACCTAATAAGGAAATGTCCATGTATGGCAAATCGTGACTCCATGGGTTCTCATGTGTTAAGGTGCACCATAGGTCGTGTGGGACAGTTTCTAGAAGGTGTAGATGATCTCCTGGTTTCCATATGTAACTTTGGGATGCACACAAAGGAAATAAAAGGAAACTCTCAACCTTCTCCAATTCTAGATCGCTTACATACAAATGTTACTCGCCAAATCTTCATAAACTAGTATGTTGAGCGGCGAATTTTCAATATCGGTCGAAGAACTATGTCGTATGATCAGTGAATTTGAACTTGGGTCCCTCTGGGAAGGCTCTTGTCGCAAGCAGGTGGATTTACTCTGTATTATTCATTTATGGCTTGCCCAATCATACATATAAAAGTAGGGTTTCACTCTCCCATGATTGGTCCACTTGGCATTTTTATTTTTAAAATATAATATTTATTTTTAATTAAACTTAAAATATAAAACATTTAATCATATACATTAATCCACACTTTAAATCCACACTTTACTACTCAATTGTAACTGAAATTACATAATTGTGAATTGATTATTTTTTTCTCTATTCATTGTCATTTAAACACACTATAATTATAATTGTAACTCCTATAATCTAATTAGTTTAGAAATGTAACTTCCATCAATTATTTTCATATAAATAACTATTCTCACATCCTCCTCCACTATGTCTCAAATCCTAAATATTCTCTTTGTTTTGTTTATGTTTTTGCATGGGTTGAAAACTCAATTAAGATATCATTGTAAGAGTTTAATTATATGTTTTGTTTAAAATATATCTTAAATTCTTTTCAGTTTTATTTCTTCTTTGTTTCTATGTACTTCGTCCTTCATTCTTTGCAATTTTATAATATTTTTTAATTTAAAATTACATATGCATAATATAATTTTGATGACTATGACAAAAATTACCTTATTGATGCAGATTCAAAAATATTAATTCGGACCATCGCAAAATAAGGGAATCAAGCTAAAGAAACTATCTCCATTTTTTTATTTTTGATGTTTGATTATTTCTTACATATTCATGTATATTTATTTTATTTTTAAAAGTATGCAATGTTTTAACGAAATAAATTTTTGTAGTACAATTATCAAATTAATTTTCCTTAACTCTCTCTTACCTCCAAAAAAATTGTACTACATATTTTTAGTATACTTATCATTATATTTAGTTTTTTTGATTCAACATATTATTATATAAAAATCATTAAAAATTGTATTTAATTCAAATTTTGTAGTGTAAAAAGTTTCCTATATATAAAAAAAATTGATATTCCATTTCCAATCTAGCTTGTACTACAAATATGAAATCATTAGAATTAAACCTACCAATATAACTTAAATTAAGAGGAATATAAAAAGAGATTAAACAATGATAGTAATCTTTGGGATTTTTTTAAAGCTTTTGATTGCTTTTCATATGATTTTATAGGAAATATATTTAATTTGTTATTTACAAAATAATTTGGAAAATGTAAATCCTATAATTTATTTTTAATGTAACTCCTATAATTATTTTTATAATTGTAACTTTTTAATATATGTTAATTGTAACTTTTTAATATATGTTTCGTTATATTTAGTTTTTGTGATCTAATAGATAATTATATAAAGATCGTTATAATATTTATTTTATTTAAAATTTGAGGTTTAAGGGTTTTTCTACAACAAGAAGAAATTTGTTAAAAACAATTTGGTCCTTAAAATTTTTTTAAAAAAGAAATCATATCTTTCAAGAAAATTAAATTTAGTTAGAATAAAAAATGAGACTGAAACCTAGCTATATTAAATAGAGTGAAATATAGGAAAAATAACTATAGTTAAAACAAAAATCATTTTATTAAATCCTATAAAGATGAAACCATTAGTATGAAATGTAGCACTAGAATTTAAATTTATGAGTGAAATTAAAAAAAAAAGATAAGAAAATGAAGAAAGATAGAAGTTATCATTGAGATATTTTAAAATTAATATTTATATTGAAGTTCATATGATTTTTATAAGAAAACAAATTTAGTTTGTCTCTTACAAAATAATATGAATTTGAACTATTATATAGGAGTTTATATCAACAAATGAACAAATGATCTATGAGTTTATATCAACAATTTATTTTGTAAAAGTAATATATAATATATGTTTATTAATGTTTACATACATAAATAACAGTAAAGTAAAAACATCTAAAATATGAGCAACTGCAAAATATCAAATCTTAAGAGCCTTTTTTTCAATTATACTTATATTGAAACAATTTATTTATAAACATATATCCCGCCGCGTAGCGCGGGCTTTTATCTAGTCTTCTTAAAATAATCGTACTGCGGTGAATACTGAATATTGCGCGAGTAAATATGAATTTGGGTGGAAGAACTTGAACATGGCTTGATCCAGGCCCGTCTCTGACCCATGGCATAGTGGGCATTTTCCAAGGGCCCAAAATTTTAAGAGTCTTTTATTATATAATTTTGTTGTATGATTTGAAAAAAAAAACAAATTAATTAAATAAAAGGGCACATAATTAAAAATGTTTCTAACATAAAAGGCCCAAAAAAATAACTAACCTAGTTATAATTAGCAAAATGTTTCAAAAACTTAATTAATATAATCAAAAAACGTGTAAAATGGTAGAAAATAATCAAAAAACATGTAAAAGAGCCCATATTTTTTTTAAAAAAAGTGTAAATTAGCCTGAAATTTTTTAATAATAGGGCCCAAAATTTTTTAAATTCTATTTTTTACATAAAAGGGCTCATATATTTTTATTTTTTTAAGATATTTCAAAATTTTATTTATAAAATGGTCCAAAACTTAACTAAAAATTCAAGAAAATCTCAAAAAAAAAATTCTATAACAAAAAGTCCAAAAATTTTGTTTGGCGCATTTTTATAAAAATAATTTATTAACGCTCATTTGCTATTCAAACAAAACATTCAAAAATTATTTACTTAAAAGTTTGACTAGAAAAAATAAATATGTGGTATACCGCGGGTCAAATACTAGTATTTTATAAATATCGTATAAATAAAAGGCCCATTTTTGTATTTTGCCTAAGGTTGTACAAAAGCCAGAGA